ATGTCAAAAATGTTGTTGTAATGTAGAACCAAAAAATTAAAAAAACAAAATTGTAAATGAAAAACTCCGAATTTTCAAGAGCTTGTTTGGTAATATTTTTATTAACATTTTCTACAAGTATTTGTGTAAAAAAAATTTATTAACCTGTTTGTTTTGGCAAAATATTTTTGACATATCAAAATACAACAACTGATGTTTGTTATAGAAATTCGCCGATGCGGCTACCTTATATATCTACATTCGAATTCTCGCCGTGAGCATTTGTGAGAAAGAATGTATTTTAATCATTCTCCGCACCCTGGAATAAATGTTTTGTGTCTCGCACCATAGCTCGTTACCGTGATACTGGTATCGTAGCCCGACTTCAAGGAAGTGGACGGATTCCAAATACTCCATTCAGCAAATATTTAAAAATGAGCTCGGGGTAAAGCCATTGAAATTCAAAAAAGTGCAAGAACTTACACCGCAACAGAAAGAAAATAGACTCAAAAGAGTTAAAGAGTTGATTCGCTTGGCCGAATTTGGTTTTCTGCGATGAGTTTGTAAACAAACAAAATGATCGTGTTTACTTGCCAAAGAGGTCAGCTGAAAATGTGCACCTTTGGTGGGCCAACAGAACTGCGTGTGACGGTTTCATTGGCAATAATTCGTGCCACAGGTGACCAATTCATTTTCACTTTGGCCACAATGTCATATTGTATTGACCATAACTTCGAAGCCGTTACAGGGATGTCCACCGGATAAATACCATTATATAGGACGCAATTTTCTGTTCCAGTTCATAAAAAAAACTAATGCGCAAAAGATTTTTCAGGTCCTAGTACGATCATATTAAAAAATAGGAGGAAACCCCTACGTTATTCCCTTTGGAATATCATTTCAAACTGTTCACAGTAATAATATATTATTCTGAAATTATTACTTTATTTTCTTATTCGGAGTACATATACCCCACACCACTTCTCTCCCACTCACTGTAAATTGTTCATTCCAAAAAATAAACATATGTTGTTTGTTCTCATATCGAGGTATGCATGCACTGCCTCCGATCGGTCTTATCTCAAACAAATTTTTTTTCTTTTGTGAAATGAAAACAACGAAACAGTGAAATCACAATCATCAACTATCAAAACCTCGACCAGAGCCTATTGAATTTAGTACTATTTTGTTTGTTTGCCGTTAAAGACGTACAAAATTAAAACCGGTTTAAAAAGAAATTCAATTCAACGAAAAATGAATAAAATTGGAAAAATCGGATTTCTTGGTGGTGGAAAAATTGCCCAAGCTATGGCTAAAGGCTTTATCGGATCTGGTAGATAAAAAATTATGCATTTTTTAAATAACGATAAGTGCACACATTTTTGAATATTGAATTAATTTTTTTAATATTAAAATATATGGTGAATAAAAATTTAAAAAGAGTAGCTATTTTTACAAAGGTGTATGAAACGTTAGTAGAAAGAATGTTAATATACTAAAAATTTTAAACAATTAATACAAAATTATTTTGGGCTATATATTTACACCTGATAAAAATAAAGAAATAATGGAAAAATAAATGCATGAGAAATTTAATGAGAGACTCTTAATAGTTTGACAGACCAAAACTTTGGTATGAGCTGCTAAATTTCCATCGGTATTTTTTGTAATAAATAGATTTTGGAAATACAAAATTGAAAAACTTGTTTATGAGAGTTTGGAAAGTGTTTACGTGTTTGAAATTTATACTTGTCCAATGTTTTCATTTGAAGTGCGTTTAGACTACGAAATCCACTTGAAGTCGAATGTCAATTTAATAGCATAGACGTCCAGTAACTTGTTCAAAAATCCAGTGGATTTCATTTGACGTATACGTTATGGATATTTTATATATGAAATCGAGTGGATTTCGTAAATCAAAACGTACTATTGAATCAAATGTTTTATAATTTGAAGCTCAATATAAATGCGGTGGTTTTAAATTTTCCTGTTTATATTTTCAAAAAATGTTTTTTATACAGGGTTATCCATTTCGTGGTTTCAAAAGTAAGCGTAAATAAAACACAAATAAAATATTTTTTTATGATACAGTATGTCAAGAATGAGTTTACACATTTCTGCTCTGCACTATGGGCCAGTGATGGGTCAATGATTGCAAATGTGAAATCAGATTTTGAAAATCAAATAAAATGAATCCAAAATAATTCAAAAAGTCCCCAGATTTGAAATATAAAACTTGTTTCCTCTCTACCTGAAAACGATTTTTTGAACAAAATGGCCTAGCCAACTTAGTCGCTGCAGCTCGATCGACTATGTCGATGTCCGAGAATAGATTGTATAGCTCATGGTTCATTCGACGGCGATTTTCACCATCGACGCAGATCGGCCCATAGATCTTTCGGAGAATTTTTCTCCCAAACATCAAAGCTTGATCTTTTCGCCATTTACTGCCAATCCATTTGGCAGACTCCTTCTCAATTCGTTCAAAGGTGACTGTTAGCGCTCGCAATGTTTAATCCATTATGTCGATGTCGTCGGCGTATGCGAGTAACATATGCTGTTTGGTGTACAGAGTGCCAATTCTGTTGACATTTGCATCTCGTATGACCTTTTCCAGCAGGATGTTGAACAGGTCGCACGACAAACTGTCACCTTGTCTAAAACCTCCGATGTGTTTATCGTAGGTTTTTTTCCAGGATCGGGCGCAGAGTGAAAATCTGATCAATGGTGAATTTGTCTGGTCTGAAGCACGCTGGATAGCTCTTTATATGCGATGGGAAGGAGACTTATTCCTCTATAGTTGGCACATATCGCCTTGTCTCATTTCTGTTCACGGGTCACAGGATGCTAAGGTTCCAAGCATTGGGCATGTATTCCTCTAGCCAAATTGTACTAATTAACTGGTGCATGCTCCTGGCCAGCATCAGACTACCATTTTGAGATATTTCCTTCACCGCCACTATTTGATACCTGAAGCTTTTTAAAATGCTTCTTCCAGAACCTCAACACGCTGTCTGTATTTGTCACAAGGTTTCCTTCTACTCGTTGGTAAAATTTTCGGATTTCATTCTGACTCCTGTACATCTCGATTTGCTCATGCTCACGTTTTTCTCGTTCTTTCTTCTTTTTCTGAAAATAAGTTTCTCCTCTCTCCTTTTCTCCCGATAATTCTCCATCACATTACGTGTTGCTACTGTCTGCACGCTTGTCCTATACGCTGCGTTTTTCAATCTATTTATAGGTTTTCAAAAATTATCCTCAATTTTGCAAAAATCTTTTATTTTAAAAATATTCTTAAGTTGCATTTTTAAGTATCTCTTTTATAAATTGTTTACATTTACAATATGTGTAAAAATATGTTTATTAAAAAAATGAATGCCATCAAAATAATCGACCCATAATGCATTCTCATAGAGCAAAATCCCCATCAATTATTAAATGAATAACAACAACAACAAAAACACATATAATACTTATTTTAATTTTTAACGTCTAGGCCTAACAAAAGCCGAATCAGTGATAGCCAGTGTACATCCCGCCGATCAAATGTCATTGCAATCATTTAAGGTGAGTTCACAGACGAGAGACTGGGTGCATTGTCGTCTTCCTTTTTCCGCAGTTGAAATATATGCTCTTATCTATTTTGAAATTTTTTGTTTGTTTGCTTTCCTTTTTCGTTATAGAAATTGGGTGTCGAGACGATAACAAATAATGATCCGGTCGTTGAAAAATCCGATATTGTTTTCATATCAGTAAAACCACAAGTTGTGCCCAGTGTCTTGAGTGAAATCAAGACAAAAAGTGCCGAGAAATTATTTATATCAGTGGCGATGGGTATCACACTGAAAACACTGGAACAGGTAAAAAACATGAATAGAGGAATCGAGAAATGCATAATACAACAAAAATGATCATGATCGATTTGTGGAAGGAAATGTTTGATGACTTCTTATCGTTATATTAAAAATTTGGGTCAAAGATTAGAGGAATTTTTATAGGGCAGGTAAAATTGGAGGTGAAAGAAAGTAAACAAAACAAGATGGGAGATAAATTGTGTATTGACAAACCCAAGCTATGATAAGATTGTCCAGAAGGCCCACTACCTAAAATAACAATAGAAATTTCTATAATTATCTTTTTAAGAAAATTATTGATCTATAATAAGAACTTATAGTCTTCTGTAAACTTTTACTTTTTACTACCCGAACAAGGCCTCAAGGGTACCCCTTTCGAGATCTTAGAAGTCGTCTAAGAATTTTCCAGAAGATTTTCTGGCTTTTATTTACATTTTTTAAATTGTCTTTTTATATTTTTTATATCTTGCTCCCTTATTTTTTACTTTATCTGAATTTCTAAATTCCAGAATTTATCACCGAGCTCCCGTGTTATACGTGTCATGCCCAACACCCCCGCCCTTGTACAATGCGGTTGTTCGGTCTTTGTACGTGGCAGCAAAGCCACAGATTCAGATGCCCACACAACACAACGTCTATTAGAATCCATTGGCACCTGCGAAGAAGTTACCGAAAATCTCTTAGATCCCGTTACCGCACTGAGCGGTAGTGGACCCGCCTATGTTTTTGTTATGATTGAAGCCCTGGCAGATGGTGCTGTACGTATGGGTATGCCACGTGATATGGCATATCGTTTGGCATCACAAACGGTTATGGGTTCCGGTATGTTGGTGCGGGAGAGTAAAGAACATCCTGGAGTTCTGAAAGATAATGTTACAAGTCCGGCAGGTTCAACAGCGGCAGCTTTAAAACATTTAGAGGAATCTGGATTTAGATCTGCTGTTGCGGGAGCTGTTGAGGCTGCAACGCTGAGATGTCGTGAAACAACTGAACACTAATCAACCAAAGAATAAAAACATAATTGGAATATTTTCTTTTGTAAAAACATATTTTTTGTTATACTATTACCTAGTTATTTAATTTATTTTTTTATATATTTTCTTTACAAAATATAAACTAAGTCATTATAAAACAATATATAAAAAAATATATATGTATTTAATTTTAAAAACGAATTTAAAATTTCTTTTTCTTCTTCTTTTCTCGTTCCAAGGCATTGAGTTCGCCTTGCTGCAGCGAGGCTTCGGCATAGATACGTTTGACCTTTTCACGACGTTCCTTGTCACTGTAAAAGAAAAAACAAGTATTAAAATATGTATATAAATATATAAAAATAATATTTGAATGTAATGTACATAAATAATTTTCGAAAGTTTTTATAGAGCGTACATTTTAAAGAAAGCATTTCCAGAGATTTTTTAAAATGTTTGTGATTATTTGAAATGCAAATAATCACAAACATTTTAAAAAATCTCTGGAAATGCTTTCTTTAAAATGTACGCTTTTTTAAAAAATGTTTTTGAGATATATTGAAATGCAAAGATTTTGTAAAAAAATTCGAGAATTTTTGAAAGGCGTGGCTTTTTTTAAATATATGTCCAAGAGTTTTTTAATACTAATATCATCCTAGTATCCCTTAAATTCATATCAGAACTATCCCAGGTGTTACATACATATATGTATGTACAACAATAAATCATCACAAATTTCAAAACACAAACATACCTTTGCAGTTGTTGTTGTATACGTATTTTCTGTAAGAATTCTGTATCACGGCGGATTTCACGTATAGCACCCTTAGTTTCACGTTTAATTTTGTGTACCAATTTCACCTTCTCCTCTTTTTCTTTGGTAAGTTTAGGACGACGTTTATCATCGTAAACGGTTTCAATGCGCGGTTCAAGTAAACGTAAAGCTTTAGGTTTCTTTTCGGGTGGCACCAATTTTGTTAACGGCTTATTCATCACTGTCTCCAACAATGTTTTAGTTTTTTCATAATTCTCCTTTACATAGGAGGGATAAGGTGTAACATCTAATTTATCCATCATTTCGTAAATGGGGGCAACCAAAAAATTGCTACCCACATGTTCGGAGACTAGAGATGTGGCATCTTGTATAAGTTGCAGGGTTTGATTTAATGATCTTACTTTGAAATCATTGCTTATCAATTGTGTAACTAAATCTTCGGCGTTTAGGGGTTCTTCCTTAATATCTTTGTATTCCTTGGAATCGGTGGCTATGGCTAATAATCTATTTAATGGTCCTTGACTTTGGAAGGGTGGTACAACTTTTATAATTTCCACGGGTCTCTTGGGTATACACAAGAATATTAAACCCGTTAGGAAGTTGAATGCAGCCGGCAGAAAACGTTTTGAGATGTTACCATATTCCAAGCATAAGCTAACCAAAAACAAACCCATTGCAATATCTTGTCGGCTCTTTACACGTGCTTTGGACAAAATGTGTTGCATAAATATGTAACATGGTGTTGCAACGGGATGCCGGAAATCAGATGTTGAACACAGGTTGGAAACAATCTTGAAATAAATCAATACCTCCAAAGAGGGATATTGTTTGGAATTTTTCTTAAATTCTGAATATTTCTCCTTGATGACATCGAGTAGAATGTTGGACATACGTTCTGCATTTAAATGTATTAAATCGAAAAGATGAGGCATAATTAGCGAAAGGAATTGAAAATGTTCACGTATATCATCAGCACCGGCATCGGAGAATTTCTCATTTATCACTTGCAGCAGGAAGGCAAAGAGTTTTACGACTTTCTCACGATTTACACCTTCCAATTTTGGATGATTGCATTTAATTAAACGTTCGACAATAATAGGTTGGTCTTGCAACTTGTACTCGTTTAATAGTTTAACAAATTCCGGATAATTTTTGGGCATTTCGATTGTAAATGGCAAATCTGTTCTCTGGACATTTACTTTTTTCATTGTTTCTTTTGGTTTTGTGTCCTTTTTGGGTTTATCTGATTTCACTTCATTATCCACTTCGGAATCTTCTCCTTCGGAGTCAGTTACTTTTAAATCATCCAAATCATCACCTTCTTCTTCATCGTCATCATCGTCCTCCTCTTCTTCACCTTCCTCATCTTCATCGTCGTCGTCTTCTTCTTCCTCGCCGCTTTCATCTTCATCATGCTCCGCTTCCCCATCATCCTCTTCAGCTTCTGAATCTTCCTTGTTGTCATTGGCATTCAAATTCGTTCCCAATTGGCCTAAAATTAAATTATAGTTCATCTAAAAATTGCCAACAAATTTTGACTTATTAAAATATGCCTACCATCCATAGTATACACCAAGGTGCCATCCTCTTCTTCAACGCCATTAGCAAAATAACCATCATCCAAATCATCTGCGGACCTATGCTTAGGTTTGTTATTATCCTCTTCATCATCTTCTTCACCCTCAGCTTTCATTCTTCGGAGACGTTCATTTTCCAATCTCTCCAAACGTTCCTTCTCCTTTTTGGCCATATCTTCTTCGGATATCAATTTATCGGATACCACACCTCTAGGTTCAAATATCAATTCACGTGTCAAACGATCATAATCATCCGGTTCTTGTTTTTTCATTTCATTCTTGGACATTTTCCCCACCAAACTAATGAGATCCTTATAATTGGAATCAAGTTTTTCTGTGAGATCGTAAAGTTCATCTTTCTCCTTGGCAATTTCAACTTTACGTTTTTTCTGCTCAGCAATCATTTCTTCAATGGCAGATTTACGATCTTTGGCGGCAGCACTTTCGTCACCACCGAAATGGGCAGCTTCCGTGAAGGCGGCTAAAATTAAAAACCAAAACAAATTTGTATTATTTTTTGTTACAAATTAAATAAAACAATTAATTTAATTCATACCATCCAATTTATCATCCTCCTCGGCGTCATCATCGGAACGGTCATCCCGAAATTGTTCTATCTCTTCCAGTGTCTGACCACGATGCGTCAGCACTTCATCATCATTTAAATTGAATCTTGAATGTTTGTTTTGTTTCATGCGTTCCATTTTATCGGCCACAAAACGTGCCGCCATCACCTCTTCATTCAATTGGTCACCCGTCAAATATTTTCCAATACGACGATCTTTGAATTTATTGGTTTTATCCTTCCTCAGAAATTCTTGACCCAAAGTTTCTTTACGTTTCTTAATAGCCTTAGCTCGTGATACACCGGGCAGACCTTTATCATGTTTACATGTCCTTCCTAGAATTTGGAATTTCTCCTTGTTCATGTGTACCTCGAAGGGATTGAGTTTTTTCGATGTTGCCGCTGTCGCTGTGGCAAAGGGATTCTCTTTTTTCACAGCCTTTTTGGCGTAAACCGCATCGGCAACAGAATTTTTTGTTTTCTTAGCCATTTTGTATTTAATATTCTTTATTTTTTATTGAATTTTATTAAATTCCAACCACTTTTAAATCGAACACGAAATTAAAACAATTTTTGTTGCATTTTCAGAATACAAACAAACGATAAGTGACAGATCTCGCACGTGGAAGCAATGTTTTGAAACAGCTGACAAAAGAGAGTTGCCAAGAAGTTTGAAATGCTGTACGTTTGTGCGTTGTAAACGTAACGTTGACGTAATGGATTGATAAATATATATTTTTTGTTTAATGTTCAGATTTTCACGAATATTATTCGGAAATAGTTGATTCTGGTTATGTTCCAGTAAAATTTACTAGGTGAGGTTGGGGATGAGCGGTTGTTAGTAACTCTCCATTGTGATCGTCCTTGACACTTGAAAAGAAGAGAGAGTGGAAGAGAGGAGAAAATAGTAGGAGAAGGAGAGCCTAGAGATGGTTCTTTTAGCCATGCTAGATTTTTGACAAAGCCTAGAATCTGCTTGGGGTCTATTTTGGAAAAGAAAGCTAGATTATCAAAAGGAGTCGAGATAGACCCATGGTTCCTTTTGAGAATATGCATAGAATCATTTTCTAAATCGATTTATGCATGTCCGTCTGTCCATGTATTTTTGTGGTCGCAGGTCGCATTTCTGATTCGATTTGGATGAAATTTGTCACATGTCACTTATTTGGCACGAGGACGTGCCCTATTGAAATTGGAGAAAATCGGTTCAGATTTAGTTATAGCTCCCATATATAGTTTCGTCCGATTTTTTTTAATGGAGCTCCATACTGCCAATATTCAGATTTGGATATATAAAATCGGACGAAACTACATATGGTTTCGTCCGATTATATGTAAATAGAGCACCATACTGCCAATATTGGTCCGATTAAGACAAAATTTTACACAGAGTACTGAATTATGTCCAGATTGATGTGTGCGAAGTTTAGTTGAAATCGGTTCAGATTTAGATTTAGCTCCCATATATAAGTTTGTCCCATTTTATGTTAATGGAGAACCAAAGAGTAAAATTTAGGCCGATTTGCAAAAATTTTGCACAGCGCACTGAATTAAGACCAAATTTAGGTATGCGAAGTTTTGTTGGAATCCGATCAGATTTAGATATATCTGCAATATATAATTGTGTTAGATTTTATGTAAATGGTACTCCGAACTCCCAATATTTGTCCAATTGAGACAAAATTTTGCACAGAGTACTGAATTAGGTGTAGATAGATATATGCAAAGTTTTGTTGATATCGGTTTAGATTTAGATATAGCTCCCATATAGAGTTTCGTTCGATTTTATGTAAATGGAGCACCAAAGAGTCAAATTTAGACCGATTGGCAAACAATTTTGCACAGCGTACTGAATTAAGTCCAAATTTAGGTATGTGACGTTTTTTTGAAATCGGTTCAGATTTCGATATAGTTCTCATATATAGTTTCCTCCGATTTTATGTAAATTCTGCACCATACTGTCATTGTTTGTCCGATTGAAACAAAATTTTGCATAGCGTATTGAAGTTGCTACAGTTTGACATCCGTATTGAAATTTCTGCAGGTTAACGTCCGTGAAGTTTTGTTGAAATCGGTTTAGATATAGCACCCATATATATTTACGTCTGATTTTATGTAAATGGAACACCATATTGCTAATATTTGCCCGATTAAGACAAAATTTTGCACAGCGTACTGAATTAGGTCTGGATTGATGTATGCGAAGTTTTGTTGGAATCGGTTCAGATTTAGATATATCTTCCATATATAGTTTCGTCCGATTTTAGGTAAATGGTGTACCAAACTGAAAACATTTGGCCGACTGATTCAAAATTTTGCACAGCGTACGGAATTTAGTCCAGTTTGACATCTGTGAAGTTTCGTTGAAATCGGTTCAGATTTACATATATCTCCCACATAAAAATTGCCGAATTTAATACAAATGTTACACCAAAAATTTAAGTTTGCCCAATTGACATGCAATTTTTTTATAGATTTCAGAATGGTATGTGTATGATTTTATATTGGTTCAAATATCTATGTAGATCACATTTGTTTTCAGCCGATGTCCATGTCAATGGTCATCCAAAGATGCTATGTTTCTTCTATCAACAGGATATTGTACACATTATCATCTCTTGTATGTAGCCAAAGTGGTGAACGATATAGTTGGCCCGTCCGACTTTTGAACTTACCTTTGTGGTTTGATCTAGGAGTACTTTCTTGGTTGGGTCTTGGGTTAAAATACGACAAAAGTACACTCTATCTCTCAATCCACTAGTTTTACTAATTGAAAACTTTTATTTTTTTTAGAAAATATGAAAGCTATTTTATGTTTATTCTCAAAACACTGTACCAAGGTCAAACATTAAGAAAAAAAAACAAAACTGAAATATATATAGGGGTGCCATAAACTATTCAAGTCACATTCAAACGACGAGCCTCTCGAGCAAATACAAGAGTTCTTGTGTATAATTAAATAACATTTCTACACACATACACACTAAAGTATTCATCTGGTATTTTTGAAGAAAAATATACTAAATTATAATTGATTGAGCGCTTGACCGCTTCGCCCATAAATTAGGCATATTGTTTTACAATTAATATATTAATAAAAATTATAGATTTTCATTGAAATCTTTCACATAAAATAAGAAGAAAAATTAGTTTTGAATAGCATAATAGCATATATACAAGGTTAAATGTCATTTAGAAATTTTGATTATTATATGCTGTGTAGTGTATGTGAGCGTACGTACATGTCGATAGCTAATCTACTGCAATATAAATCAAAACCATTGAGGTGGTGGCATT